AACCTCAACAAAGACTTAATCACACTTAGATACTCTTCGTTTTTACTTCCTTCCTTGTCGTCTTTCTTGTACTCATTCCATAGACGGTACACTTCATTTTTACTCGGTGTTATCTCTATCGCCTTTAGAGTTAACCCTTCTCTTTCGTAAGCCGCTGCCATTGCATCCATCGTTTTTACTTCAAGCTTGTAGTCATCATCATCCCATTCACTCTTATACTTCTCCATTGACTCTATCGCTGATACACATGCGTAGACTCTCAAAACGTTGTTCATCGTGACGCTATCGGGCTCTATGTTGTTCTCCTTCATCTCCTTTAGAAGACTCTCGATCTCGATTCGTTTTCCTAGCTCGCTATAGAGTGATATCATCTTGTTGAATGGGGGAAGTTTGAAGAGGAAACCGAGCTCTCTCATCTTCTCGAAAATGGACTCTGCTTTGTCTAGGGTTTTGGATTGAGTTAAGAGTGTAGTGTAGACAGAGTAATCCTTCATATTATCAGGCATGCTTTTATCGAAAAACTTCTGTGCTTCTTCCAAACTCAAAACCTTCTCAGTCAGATGAAGCCTAGTTGCATAATCCTGTGGAAAAAGACTAAGCACTTTCCTTTTACACATCCATGATGATACCTCGAGTGCTTTAGAGAACTGATTTGAATCAGTGAGGTTCTTGATTAGGTCTCTCAAATCCGACGGCTTTACTTGATTCCCTTGTTTCCCCCATTCTTCGAGCATCGGAGTGATTGGTATATCCAATTGTCTGTTCCTCAGTGTCTTGTACATAAGTTGATCTGCCTTGTTCACCATTCCCTTTTCGCGATAACCAGACGCCAACATTGTCTGGATAAGGCCATCGAGCTCAAGACCCGCGGTTTCCCACTCGTTGTAGTAGACCTCCTCTGCTTGGTTGATATCACCAAGGTTCAAGAGAGACCCAATCAAAGCTCGAAACCCTCTATTGTTCTGCTTTCTTGTCATCTTGGCCATCTTCCATACGCGTAAAACATCGTCTACCTCTCCTGCTCGACCGTATAGCGTCATGAGTTCCACATGAGACTCAGAATCCCAAAATTTCTCTGTTTTACGAAGCATCTCTCTCGCTTTTCCTTTGAAACCTTTTCCTAGATAAGCCTTAGCCATGTCAAGTGTTGTAGACAGCTCAAGATTTGCATTCGCTTCGAAACCAGCCCGAAACTTGTCCATTTTCTCAATGTCGGATACAGAAGCGTAAACTCGCAAAGCCTTGTTCACGGTGAAGCTATCGAGCTCAACATTGTTCTCCTCCATCTCTCGGAGAATCTCATCGACCTTATCTCTATCTCCAAAAGAATCGTAAAGCGAAATCATCGAGTTGTAAGGACAAGGTTTCGATAGCAAACCTAGCTTCCTCATCTTCTCGAAAGTAGATTCGGCTTTATACATCTTATCAGATTCCGTGTAACTGTTTAGTAGAGCTGTGTAGATGGATTCGCCTCTTTGATTCCTCGGTATGCTCTCGATAAACTTCTCTGCTTCTTCCAAACCTAATACTTTCTTAATTAGATGAAATCGAGCTGTGAGATCTTCAGGGGCGAGATTACAGATCTTTCGTTTGACCATCCAATCTGATACATCTAGAGCTTGATGAAATCGCTTTGAATCGTGAAGCTTCTCTATGATTCCTCTAACCAACGAAGGGTTTAGTTGGTTGCCTTGTTGTTGACGCCATTGCTCAAGCACTGTACTGATATTTGATTTCTGATCTAAAGCCGATTCGATACGACTCTGAAGGATTTGGTTCGAAGACCATAGGGTTTTGTTTGCGTAGGAGCTGAAGAATCGAGTCGTGCTGCTACTGTGAGCTACAATACGCCTTGCGTGGCGCTGAAGAATATGCGCCATGTTTATCAAGTTTAGGGTTTTGTGCTAACTTTTTCAATTGAATCCATGTATATATAT